ATATTCCGGTACCGGGAATCGAACCCGAGCCTCCTGGGTGAAAGCCAGGTATCCTAGCCACTAGACCATACCGGATTGGTGAGATGGAGTGAAAATAAAATGAATTGAAATCGTAAAAAACATATTTTTCAAAATTACATAAATGATTATTATTCTTATTAATTTTTCCAATCATTTCTAAATTGTCCTCGAGTCATATTTTATATCAATAAAAATATAAAACATCATTATTAATTCGGTATTTTCTCTCGTCCAAAATTATAATTTTTTGATGATGTAGGTTCATAAGGAACTTGGACATGAAAAGAAGTAGAACTTAACTTAATTAAATTATCAAAATCATTATTAATAATTATTATTACTTGTTTATATTACAGGGCGGCAATTTGAGTCGAATTGTTGTAATAATGTTAACAGGACAACGCATGGAAGTAACTTGCGATTCACAAAAGATAACTGCTGGGGATTTGTTTCAGGTCAGTTTAAGAAAAATTTGGATTATAAACATAAATGAACGAATATAATTTGAATATTAATTTTGAACGGAATCTAATCTAATGAGCTTAGAGATTGAAACGATATTATTTGTTCGCGGAACGACGTGCCAAATAGATTTAATTCATTCCGTTATCGCGAGATGAACAATAATCGAAACCTTGAATGGAAACTCGGGGGAGAGTGAGAGAGAGAGAAACCATTGAAGATTCAGCAGGAAGAGTGGTTCGCACTGATAAGACATTCAATTTGCTGGCCGATCATCTATCCACGTGTGAAATAGTTTCAAATAGAAAGGTCTTCTTGCATTCTATTGTAATACACGTGTCCTCATCATATTCCACACATTTTGTATCATCGAGTGTTATAAGATTTAGATTGTAGTTCCTCTTCGCAGAAGTCACAAATTTCATAGCCGTAAATTGTAAGCAGAAGTTCTGGCACCCTGCCAGAACTATTTACCACTACACTTACCATGATACTGTGTTACACTTTACGACAAATCCACGAGTTAAAGTTAGAATTATGCGATCTCTAAAATTAATTTACTGTACCATTTTATCTACGAAACTAAACCTACCGGGATAAATTATCATTCGGTATTAAAACGAACGAGGAATGAAAAATAAATTGTGTTGTAAAAATAATTGCAAAGATTAAAAATTGAATAATTTGTATCGTATACAGGCAATAGTGCAAGCTGAAAATTTGGAAGAAAATTTTACGTTAGGATTGGCAGTTTTGTTGGCCGGTGATTTCGCGATTCTACCACCGGAAACGAAATTGAACAAAGTAGCACCGCCTGGTTGGTTGAACAGTGGCAAAAGCAAAGGTTCCTTGGGACTTCCAACAAGTTTTATGCTTTACCTGAGACTTCGTTTTTTCTTACCATCGTTGCGTGGTATCAGGTAAGTAAACATTCTTGTATAAATACAAAAAATAAAAAAAAAGAACTGAATACACAGATCTAAATCAGTGATGGTTGTTTCTTTTACAGAAATTGGATATCGAAACACTTGCTGTATCTGCAAATAAGGCGATGCATACTCGAGCAACAACTCGTATGTTCCTATTCTGAATTAATTTATTTAACCGGATTGGCACTGCAAGTCGAATTTGGTAATTACAATGCGAACGTAAGTTTAGAAAACATTTCCTTATCGTATTAAAATAACGCCCATTAGGAAACTGCTGATCTATTTAAATGATCATTTGATTAGGAACACGGGTGCGGTGATTACTTTTTGTTGGAACATTACGTCCCAGAATCATTGATATTAAATATGGATCAGCATCAGTCTAACGTGAACGCTGAAGCTTTGCGCATTCAATTGCAACAGGCACACAGGGATCGTCGTGGTTTGGATTCGAACAAGGCCGAAGAGATGTTCATAACTCATTCCCAATCCTTACAGGATTATGGTTCCCATTATTACATAGCAAGCGTTGATTCTAAAGAACTCGACAAAGTTATGACGCAACAAAAGAAAAGAAAAATCAACGAGGATAAACGTCGTCGCAGTTGCGAGGGTGCACAAACCGAAAATATTTACGGACAAGAGAAACCTACTACGACTACCACCACTACTACTACCACAACCACAACTACTACTACCACTACTACCTATGGTAGAATAGAAAATCTACCTGAACATTCCAATGAAATTCTTCAATCCAAGATGTTGCGTTACAACGATGAACGCAGCATTGCTGACGGTGGTAACGCCAAACCAAATTCAACACATTTCAACGTAAATCCCGAACAACAGATCTGTTCGAATCAAACCAATTGTAGAATTTCAAGAAAAGATACTTGCATTAATAATAATATTAATAATAATAATAATAATAATCATCATCATAATAATAGTAATGTTCATAACAATAGCAAGAATAAATTGTCGAAAAGTAAGAAGACTGATAGCAATGTCTGGTTAGCCATTCATGCTCAAGTACGTTTATTTAATTTAAATATTATTTATATAATTGTTTATATATAAAAAAAACCAACACGGGGAAAATTTTTGTTCAGGGTTTGAAACTGTTCGAAAGAGGCGGAGAACCTAGGGAAAGAATGGAACTCGCTCAATTTCAATGGAGAGACATTCAGACGTTGAGTTACAGTAAGAATTGTCTGGTAGTCTACACTAAATTAAATGGGAAACGATGCAAATTCAAATTACGAATGGATCACAGAAAGTAAGAGAGCTTTTTCTTCTTCTTCTTCTTCTTCTTCTTTGTAAACGAGACTCATACCTTTTTTCTTTGTTAATTAATTCGAATTATTTTTCAGGAGTTATTTCGCGTTCAAGTTAACTTCCTTGCATCATCAATTCTTCTTGAAACTACGTTCTGAACTTACATCGTTGCAGGGACTTGCGAAAGGTTAATACAAATGACATGAAAACTAATTGGGTATAAAAAGAAGGAACGAATAATTTATTCGGTTTTTTGAATTTTTGTAGATTTTGGAATTCCGATGACAGTTGAGACAACAACGACTACGACTACAACGTCACCGTCAAAATTGAAGAACACCGATGGAAAGACTAAAATAACTATTGCCAATACGGTTAAAATACATCCCAAGTTGAACAGTTATCCGATGCAATTGGAGGAATATCAGAACAAGGAGAATGAAAATCCTCAGAAAGAAACCAATGCGATAGTTCAGATTAACGAGAATCATGGATTTTATTCGTCAGAAGAGGACGCCCTTTATGCACAAGTTAATGTCAGATTGGAGCCTGAAGGGGAGTCACGTGACACCGAAGATGAGTCCGAGGGTGATATAATTAATCCGAACGAACCGATTTCATTGGATATCAAGGAAAGAGACGACAGGGGTGGTACAATTTATGCGTGTTCGAGAATTCAAATTGACACGGAGTGTGTCTACGCTTTGCCAAAAATCATGTCGACCAATGACATAGATCATTTGAACGAAAAATCCGAAAACCCTGAGGAACTTTATGCAGCTATCAATAAAGCTGGGTTATCGAGAAAGAACAATTTTCCGGTTCCCGAAGAAGTTTGGGAAGTTTCTGACGTAAAAAAGACAATAAACAAAGTAAAGAAAGAACAAATTAATAATGAAATATATTTATATATATATTTTTGATTGATTTATTTTGTAAAACATTTGATTTACAGATGAAAACGTCGAGTTTGCCGAATTATGGGACACCAAGGCAAAGTACGGGTTTTCGTACGCCAAGTTTACCACGTAGGTTGGGAGTAAAAATGGGTACAAGAGCAATTTACAGTAGTATCGGTCAAAAAGATCCCGGTCTTACAGATGATGCTGAATCAGTATCGTTGAAATCTGACACGGAGTCATCGATAAGGTCGTTTTCTGCAAGATCAACCGAGTCACCGTTACCTGAAGCTTACGTGCTCAGTGAGTTAAAGAAAAAGATAAATAATGTGTTTCATAAGATTGAACTTAATTAATATTAATCAATCAATCAACTTAATAATATTAATATTAATTTATTCAGTATTTTCTCTCGTCCAAAATGATAATTTTTGATGATAAAGGTTCATAGGGAACTTGAACATAAAAAGAAGTAGAACTTAATTTAACTAAGTTGAACGTTTCGTCCCTTTATTGGGACTTATTCAGCAACTGGAAATTTTATTTTCTTATCAATTTCTTATTACGATACCATGCGGTTTATACAATATCATTTTTTTTACATATTACCTTAATCTTTAAAGTTCAGCGTCTTTTTTATTTAATTCGACATACATTTCTCTTTATGTTAATATTCCAACACACAACACATCTAAACTTCGTTAAATTGATCGTTATTATTATATATCAATATTAATATTTTTTTAAATGTATGTAATTATTGTTAATAATCAACTGCAACAGGTTAAATATTTTCTATTGATAGATGCTGATATAAGAACGGATGACGAAACGTTTCACGTACCAGAAGAGGAATCGATATCAGCTTCATTGATGGCACGTTTAGAAGAATTGTCCTTCGCAGAGGAAAGGATTCTTCATACAATTAAATTGGAACGAGGACACGGTGGAAGTATTGGTTTACAGGTGACCGAAGGTAACGATGGTGGGGTATACGTGCAAGCAGTTTCGGTTGGTGGTTCTGCTGATATGGCTGGAAATGTGAACAAAGGTAAAACAAGCTAACACCATAAAGTATAGAATTAGCTAATGAATCATGTATTTCACGTAGGTGATCGGATAGTAGCGATTAACGGACAAAATTTATTGAATCTTCGATACGAGGATGCACTTAAAATGTTACAAAGTTCATCCGAAACAGTTGAACTTGTCCTATCTCAACCCGATTCAATAAAAAAGCTTGATAATCGTAACATTGGTGTAGTTGAAAGCAATTATTTGCAGTAAGTATTATAGTTTAATTATTATCCGAATGATAAATATGATAATTTGTAATTGATAAATTATTTATTGGATTATTATAAAATTTTAATTTAAGTGACATCAGATTTGATGCTTCATCCGAAGCTGAGACGTCCAGCATGACGAACAAATTACTGATTCAGAAAACAACTGATGTTGCATCGGTACAAAACACATCTAGTGCATATAGTAGTGCTGCTTCAAGCGCTATGGGTAACCACCATGCTAACAGTTTGTACTTGGCCGATCTTGTCGGTAACAACGCTCTCAAATCAGCTAGTATGCTTCTTAGTATTGAAGATTTTGATGTTAGTAGAACAAGTCGTCAAGTGTTCATATAATTAGGTAAATATTTTTTCGTATTTTTCATCAATATTATCTTATCTTTTTTATATTAATTTAATATTAATTAATTGTTCACACACATACAATATTCAAGTACTGGCAGAACTTAAATTTTCTCCCCCTAACATCTCGTACAAATTTGTTTGGATAATACAATTATTTATTTAATTGATAGTTTTGTTTATAAATGAAAGCCACTCGGGAATCTTTTTCTTTTTAGAGAATAATTATTATTAATTATTATTATAATTTATATTTTTTGATCAATTTTTTAATATAATTTTTATTATTAATTAATTATTTTAATAATTTTAAATGTTTATTATTTAAAATGCTACTTCCGCTTTGATTATCAATCTTTACCTTGAAGACGTATCGCGAGAATTGTTAATCTCGTTAAGAATATTACGTCTTGACAGTGCAATGCCAAGATGACAAAAGAAAAAGAAAGAAAAAGAGAGAGAGAGAGAGAGAGATAAAGTTAGTGCTATCTACGATCACTCTAATCGAATTATTTTCATCCCCTTAACGAAGCCCCATCCTAAGTCACCCACCCAGTCGAGTAGTAGTCCATTCGTTTATTCATACCATTTACTCATGGAACGAGAATTATTAAATTCATGGTTAAATCAATGTCATCTTTCTCATTTAATTTCCTCATCGAATAAAATTAAATATAATATCTTGATATTGAAAAGTGTGTTCATTGGATAATTTTTTAATTAGAACATTTGGATGTCCAGTTTGTTTTTTTGTAATAATAAAAATTTGATACACTGTGTATTTGTAATTTTATATAACAGTATATTAATTTTATACAATTGAAATATCAATGAAATAAGTTTGATCATTTAAACAAAATTGATTATTAATATCATATTACTCTTAGAAATAAATATAAATAATATTTTATTTCAAAGTATGAAAGAATGATATTACTATAAATGTATGTTTTTTTTTAATGTAGTATTTTCTCTCGTCCAAAATGATAATTTTTTGATGATAAAGTTTCATAGGGAACTTGGACATGAAAAGAAGTAGAACTTAATTTAACTAAGTTTAACGTTTCGTCCCTTTATTGGGACTTATTCAGCAACTTAATTATTAAAGCTCAGCGTCTTTTTTATTTATTACGACATACATTTCTTTTTTTTAATAATTCTCTTCAAATATATACCTCTGATCAATTTTATTATTAAAAATATTTATAGAAATTTATTAGATACAAAAAAGAAAAAAGGGATATAATCTATGAAATTAAATTACTAAATAAAGATAGACGTGTGTAAGCCCTTGTAGGAGAAAAAAAAAAAGGAAAGAAAGAAAAAGATAGACTATTATTGAACGAGCTTCAGACAGAATAGTAGTAGTAGTAGTAGTAGTAGTAGTTGTTGTAAGGGTGGGGTAAAAACATAGTCTATCATTTCTAAGGAATCACCTTTAGTATTTCTCGGTCTAACGTCGTGATCATATCTTTTTTTCGTATCGTTCTAACCACCATAATAAAATAATAATAATAATAATAATAATAATAGGAAGAAACACGTGATACAAGATGTACAAATGTGAGCACCTATATTCGAATTTGATTTATTTTTAATTGAAAAGAAAAATATTTATATATATTCTACGAAATCTTTCGAGTAGAAATTTTAGTATAGAAAAAAAGGTGTGTGAATAATAGAAAACCAAAGAACAAATAAACAAACAAACAAACAAACAAGCAAAATGTTTCTTCTGACCGTAGGTGAGACACTCCCGACACCGCCACCCCCGCATTTACCACCACCACCACCCCCGGTGCCACCCAGACGAAGAAAGAAAAAACTAATAAACGCAGAAATTTGCAGGGATGAAGAAAAACGTGACGGAATGGATGTTAAGATGTGTGCGAAAAGAATTGATCGGAAACGTTTACCCCCACCACCACCGCCATATCAAATACCAAGAAAAACTAAAACCAAATTCGTTGATAAGAATGAAATTCAAACGAGAATTATAATTCACGAAGAATCTTTGAAAATTGACATTGGGGATGAACGGAGTGAGGAGGACATCGTTTCTTTACAATCGTCAGATCATTTTTCTCATTTTGAAAATAATATTTTGAAAACGAGTGACGAAAGACTCGAAGAACAATTGAAACTTCACGAAAATACCAAAAGAGAGTCGACGGTTAGTGAAAGTATCGAAAAAAATGATTTCAAGGTTGATGAGGATCCTAAAAAAGAATTGAAAGTCGATGAGAGAACTGAAAGTGATTCGAAGGTTTACGAAAGTCCCAAAAGAGGTTTCAAGGTTGATTATCAGAGGCCTAGAAGAGAATTAAAGATCGGTGAAAGTCCACTAAGTGAGTTGGAGGTTAGTGAAAGTCAACTAAAAGAGTTCAAGTTCAGTGAAAGTCCAGTAAAAGAGTTGAAGGTTGCTGAGAGTCCATCGAAAGAGTTCAAGGTTGCTGAAAATCCTAAAAGTAATTTAAAAATTAACGAAAATTCTGAAAAAAACGACGAACCGTTTATTGTTTCACCCAGATACGGTGACATTGTGAGAAAAAAAGAATTCAATAAATATCCACCCCTATTTTTTACCCTCGATGATCTTCGAAATGTCATAACTGATGACAATTCAACGATTGAAAACAGATCGGAAGAGACAAGTATCGAAGAAAATCCGATAAAAAATGTCACAGGAATAGAATCGAAAGTTGAAAAGGAAGTTGACGAGAATTCATTCGTAGATAATAATATCACCATGGAAAATGAGATTTGTTTTCGGGTAACACCGACAAATTTTCCCTTTGAAAAATGTTTGGATAGATGGAAAACTTCGTTAGAAGAAAACGAGGAATTCGGTATCGAAGATAGGAACAGTTTTATTTTTGAAAATTACATCGACAGAAGTAACAGGTTGAATGTTAGACGATCAAGGTCATCAATGTGTTACGATATTATTGAAACTGATGGGAATAATATAATCGAGGAACATACTGCAACCAAAGTGAGATTCGTGATAGAATCACCGAGTTCTTCTTCAACACCTGATGATCTTGATGATGATAGTTTTCCAAATGTTTCCAACGAGGAAACTTCTGAATTATCGATAAATAATCATCAACTAAATCAATCGGACACTCAAATTTTCGACAAAGCTGATTTATTCGGTGATGTACCATTCGGTTCGTTGTTAAATAAGAAAAACAATACCAATGAAAATTCCGAAATCATTTGTCGTACGGTTAATTTAATAAAAGATAATTTAGAATCTGAAAATAATCAAATGAAATCATCTAATGAAGATAATAAATCTGACGAATTTACTTCCGATAACACATTATCTTTATTTTCGGATAATTGTTTTACTGAAAAAGAAATAGATGAATTTAAGATAGAACATAATTGTTCATCTCAGAAATTATCAATGAATTTTGAAAATATTAAAAACAACAAGGAGAATGAGAACGTTGATTACATTTTGGAAAATAATCAGAATATTCTTGATGATCAAAACGATCAATTGCATTCCAAAAAAGAGTTGAATAAGAACGAGCGTAGAAAAATTTGTTTAACTGAATCGGTACGAAGTTTCATGAACGATGATTCTTTAGTTTGGGATGAATCCGACGAAGACGAGGATGAAACATTTATCGATTCGAATTGTTTAAAGTTAGACACTTCTGTGGAAGTTCAAAGTGAAGATTCAAGTGTGACGAGAATAGAAGAATCAAAAGAAGAAGAAGGAAGAAGAGGATCAATTTTAACTGTGCCAAGTTTCCAAGAGTCTAACGATAAGATGATGATGATGATCGTTGATGATTCAACTAGCAAAGAAACTATGAATAATAATAATAATAATAGTAAACCTGTTCCAGTTAACGTAAGACGAAATTCATTTTTAGAAACTATGCTAACGGGTGGTGAAATTCGATCGAATTGGATGAATTGCGAGATCGTAGAAACTCATCCGAAAAATAATCGATCGAATTCGATCGAGGAATTGAATAATCAAAGAGATTCCAATTTACTGAAATTAAATAAACAACAGAATGTAGGAAATAATGATAAGAATTCGTTATTGAATGAAAAACGAATGATTGAGGATGATGATATCATCTCAAACGTGAAAAACAATGTTCTGAATGAACTAATATCCAATTTTTCTACGATCAAATTGAGAAGTGTGATGAAAGATGATGACAAATTCAAATCAAAATATTCATTGAATAATGTTGAATCTGTCATTTCGGATAAGAAAGATAAAATAGAAGAAGAAGTAGAAGAATTAGAAGTAGAAATAAATGGGAAAAAAGATGATGTGACAGATGATGATGATGATGAAGATAAAAAAAAGATGATTACTGCGAATCAGATAGCAGTTGAACGAATTCAAGCGGAAATAAAAGAAACCCGACAGTTGGACGAGCAGATGATGATGATGACAAAAAATAAGAATTCTGAGATTCGTAAAAAGAATTTCGAGTTTGATTTAAATCATACTTATATTAAAGATTCTAAGATAATAATTAATAACGATATCGAAGATAATTTGTCTTCGTGTGTACGTGAAATTATTGTAGGGAATGAACAAGTGATGAAAATAAATATGATCGATGATGATGATGATTTAGATGAAACAATTAGAAATGAGAAAGAATTAGATTTGAAGAAGATTATGAAGAAAACAAATCATAGGACAAAGTATGATGATGATTATGATGATGATGATGATTTAGATGAAACAATTAGAAATGAGAAAGAATTAGATTTGAAGAAGATTATGAAGAAAAAAAATCATAGGACAAAGTATGATGATGATTATGATGATGATGATGATAGCGTTGATAATAAGTGTGCCATAATTAGAGAAAAGACTCCCATTGTAATAACCCATTGTAATAATGATGACAATAACAGGGCCATAACGACACCCGTAGATTTAAGTAACGACCAATCGTTAGCCGATCATGACGAGACACTAACGATAATCCCAGGTAGCGTTAAGAATTTTGTTAAATATTACGAGATTATCCGTCAGGAAAAAACGACGGCCTTTGAAGATTCTAAAATTAATGATAGGAAGAAAATGTTAGTTAGATCGAAGGAGGAAAACAAATTACGTTCGAACGTATCGAACAAGATCAGAAATTTTGAATATAAGGAACAATCTGATAAACCGGCTGCGAGAACTAATTACAATGAAGTATACTACAAAGAAGTTGAGAAGATTGATGAAAAGAAAAATGATTTTTATCCGATAACGAGTAGTCCTGAATTATTGACGAATGATATTAGTTACACCATGATTGTTAAAAAGGTTGTTCAACAACAACCTAACGATATGAAAATTGAGTGCGAAGAAAATTCATTGGGATCATCGATCAATGGATTTGATGTTAATGATGAGGATCAAAATTCGGTTGAAATTATTCATCGTAAGAAATCAGTGCAATTCAGTAGTGAACAAGAGGTTATGATGATACGGGTTCAAGATAATAATCATCAGGATGATCATGAAACTACTTTCTCGCAGCCTGTTAAACAACATCATCTTACACAGGTTACAAATATATTCACTGATTATTTTTACCCCCCATTACAGTTTTGTTTTATTTTGTTTTGTTTTCGTTAGAATACGAGAATGATCTGATTCAAATGTATCACTCATTTTCGTACATATTTTAGTAGTAATAATAGTTTAAGGGGTTACATGGGTTTACACCGAGAAAAAATAGCATATTTTCAACAATTTTTTTTTCTATATTAAAAATGGAATTCTTATTCAAACTTTTTATAGTACTTAAGATACATATTTAAAGAAGATTTTCTGAATTTTTGGTTGGAAAATATTTTAAACTCAGCCATTGCGACGTCATTTTCGGTGACCCCACCGAAAAAAAGGGTTTTCGCGTTGACAGCACAACTTATAAACAGTGGGGGTTTTTCTGTTGAAAAAATAGGGTCTTTTAGTGAATACTTAAAACTAGAAACTGGACGAAGGAAAAAGAAAAACATTAAAATTTGGATTTTTGGCAACGTTTTTAGCAAGAACATTCAAATTTCGCTAGAATTTGCACCACATTTTGGTTTCTTAAAATTCGATTTTATGAAAAAAAGGAAAATCCTTCGTCCAAGTCCTTGTCAATAGTATCACGAAGACGTGTGACAAATTTCATGAAAATTGGTTAAATAGTTTTGGAGAAATCTTGACAACCGACTTTAGAAAATGCGTTTAAAGATTCAAGTGCTGGTATAAGAGCCATTAAAGGGTGCAACTTCCCAGGGCTCTATCTTTAAAACTACTACTCCTATCGACTTCAAAATTCAATACAATATTCTAGATGAGTTGTAGAATTTAAAAAAAAAATTTGTTTGAAAGTCCCAAACCCATGTAACCCCTTAAAATAGAATGTAGTATGTAGTATGTATTAGTTTTGTAGTAACAATTATTCAGGTTTTTCGAGTATTTAATTAAAACAAACAATGGTAGACAAATTAACGTAACACCATGTATTTTCATTTGCAGGAAGTCGTCCCCGGGACGGATTACCAGAAAAATTCAGGTATTAATCGAATCGCTTCCAACGTTGAAAATAACAACACACGCCTCGTATTTTATTGTACGGTTTAAAAAACCATCATTATTTTCCTACCATAGTGTTAGTTCTATTATTATTATTTTTTTTTTTTACATATTGTCGAAAAAACATTTTAATTTTTTACTTAAATTGTCCTAACACGCAACAACAAATTTATTTTTTTTTTATTCAATAGACTGTGTCGAATATTTAGAAAAAAAAAAAAAAAAAAACAAGAAATAAGGTTCCTCGAAATATTTTACAAATATTTTTATTGTTGTTGTTGTTGTTGTTGTTGTTAAACAATCTTCTTCTTTTTAATTATAATTAGTATTCGCATTAAATCTCTTAGAGTAAAAGAAACAAAAAAAAAAAGAACAATTCGAGATAGAATCTTTTAAGCGTGTACGCGTGTACATACATACATACATACATACACGTATGTACATATATTGTGTGATATTCGTGATACGTTTTTAAACAAATAAAAAGAGCAAAAAGAAGACAAAAAAAAATAAGAAAGAAAGAAAGTAAGACAGTAGGAAGAATCTTTGAATCTTTTCGTTTGTGAAAGTCAGCTTTTAGCTCTGTTATTGTCGATAGTGTAATACAAACCACCACCCCCCACTCCCACCCCCGCCCCCCTTTCTTACCTCGCGAGAAACCCCCATAGAAAATATTCTTATTGTTTATTCTTCTTCCTCCTCCTTCTCTTCACCTGAAACCGCCCCCCCCCATCCCCCTTTTATTTTCTTTTTATTTTATTCGTTTGATATTGTTTAATATAAAACAACAAAAGTTATGCACGAGTGTTTATCCTACCCTTTAGCAATGCGTGTGTGTAACAACACACACACACACGTGCATGTTCGAAGTAATTGCCCTTAGTGAGACAAAGAAAAACTAATAAAGAGAGAAAGAATGTATGAGTAATTATGCGTTGAGTTTGTGTTTGTTTGCACACGTGCAAGTATGTTTTATGCGTAAATGTCTCTCTGTGTGTTTGTATGTGTGTGTGCGTGTGTGTAGAAAATAATTAAGTTTATTCGTCACAATGCGTTACATATATGCACGAACCTTGTTTTATAGTACAGCAATATACAATACGTAATATATAATTCATACAAGATACATATATATGTACACACACGTTTATGTAGACATATGTATGTGTTTGTGTTTATATATATATATATAAAAATAATAAGTTTCCTCTCCTGGAACGTGCAATCATTCGAGTTTAAATAAAATAAAATAAACCACACAATATATAATAGTTTTTTTGCTGTTGTAATATGTAATGTACATTACATATTATAATATATCTGTAATATTACGTTAACGGTCTTATTATACTTGTTGACTTATTATTTAAGTGTGTGTGTCTATTTTAAACAAATTTGTTTTTAACGTTACACGTTATATCGAAGTTTTACGTTGAAAAATGATTTGTTCGTGTAAGAGAAGGAGAAGGGGATGAAGATGAAGAAAAAATTTTCAATAGAAAAAAAAACAAACAGATAGAAAAATGTGTACTACTATCTACTACCCATTACCTAACTACTACTAAATTTTTTAACTGTCTGTACTCTGTTTTACAAACCGAGATTCATCTGTTTTACCGACCGAGTTTTAATCTGTTTTACCGACAGAGGTTTTTAACTGTTTTACCATCAGAGCCACGAAAGTAAAGGAACTACGGAAATAAAGAAAGCAATTATTAATTTTAAATGATCAATGAGTTTGCAATTACCTGCAATAATTCTTTTCTTTATGCAAAGAAAATTTGTTTAATGTCGGTACTCTGCTTTACTCACCGAGATTTATCTGTTTTACCGACTAAGATTTTAACAAATGTTTCCTTCGTGTTTATTAAACAAATAAACGAATAAGAAAAAAAAATAAAATATATATATATATATATATATATATGAATACAAAGAAAAAGGGGGGGGGGATTGAAAGATTAATAAAAAAAAAAAAGAAAAAAAGACAGGAATAATTGCTTATATTATAATATAGTTAATATAAACAATTAAACAATTAGTACGTGTATGTAAAAATAAATAATTAAATAAATAAAACATTGAATGTGAGTATTATACATACATATACATATACATATATATATACAATATACAATTTAAATGCGATGACGTATATATAAATAATGTGTGCGAGAGAGAAAGAGAAAGAGAAAGAAAGAAAAATGACGACGATGATGGTAATGATGATAATAATGATGATGATTATGATAATTATGATACGACTCGACGTCATTTAAAGACGATGTGTCGTTTTATAATATTTTATTTTACATTTAGATAAGAACCGTTCTAAGTAACAGTGTTCTGTGTAAGAAAATAGAAGAAAGGATGGAAATAATAAAAAAAAATAAAATAAAGGGAGAAAACAAAGTTTCAAAACCCTTCAATGGAATCCTATTAGAATTATTTCGAGAATGAAGTCAACTCGAATATTTGTAGTTTGTATTTTAATGATTGAAGTTTTTGAATTAATTATTAAATAGATAAAATTGTTACGAGAATTATCTATCGTGCAGTGAATGAAAGAACATCTTTAATAATCTACCATTGCGAGTAGACTTTTTTTTTTAGAATTTTTTTTATATACATATATGTATTTTTGTTTCGTTTCTATGTAATGTAAGAGTAATTTTTTCGATTAATTATCTTTTTTTCCTAAATGTATAAACAAGTTTTAATTAACGAAATAAAATTCGAGCGAATTGATGATTGTATTTGAGTTAATAAAAAATAAACGCAAAATATTATAAAATATTAATTGACGCGTAAAGATGAATACAAACAAATTTATCATGCATAAAGTTTCTCCTAACGTATAAGATGTTTTATTTAACACGACAAAAATAAAATTTCAAATACAATAAAATGAAGTATGTTAATAATTGACAATTTTTTTTTTAAACAGAATTTTCTTGGGGTATAACAACAATTTCTAATAAAATTTGCAAGGATCGATGAAAAATTGCAAAAGAACAGTTTAAACAATAGAACAGTTTGAAATAAACCGACACAACCACCCACCCACCCACTCTTTTTTTTTTCTCATTTGTACAAAACAATTGTTTGATTAAATTCATTTCAATTTGCTTACAAAGATAAACAAATACCCGTTAACATCAATCCTTTGCACGCATTTCACACTGCACGTTTGTAATTCCGGTTAATAAAAATACGCTTTAAATAAATGATTATTATTATTATTATTATTACGATTATTATTTCCTATGTTTTATCTTGAGAACGTTTAACGATATTGACCGAGAAAAAGAAGTGGGCATGTGTGTAACTTGTTCACATACATATACGAACGGAAAATTTGTGTGTGTGTATGTGGAGTTGTGTTAAGTATTTGTGTGTTTGTTAAAATGAAATAGAAAGAAACGTTTCTCACGATTTCGCGGTAAAGAAAGGTCGTATTATTTTTATCTTCCTTCACCTTGCAACTTGCTCGAGGCAACGTGAATCTCACTTACATATTATACTTATATATATATATATATATATATATATATATGTTTGTATATATAGGTTTCAAATATAGAACAGTATTATTAATAAACGTGTGAAACATTTTCTAGGGGAATATAATTGGGCCATGTTATCACGCGTAATCCTTTTTTTTTTTTTTAAACAAAAAAAAAAAAAAGAAATAATATTTCTCTTTTCAATTATATTTCATTGGCAATTGTGTAAACCTTTGAAAATTCCCATGCCCTTTCGGGATTAAAGTTTAACCCCATGTTCAGCCTATTTAACAATTTGCTTCATTATTTAATTTAAAAAAAAAACAAAAACAACAACTCGGCAAAGATTTTTCAAATTGTTTTATTGTCATTCGTGAATCGTGTGATTATTTTTAATCTGATTTTTCAATTATTTTTCTTAGAAATATAATAACCGTAAAGGAAAGTAATTGTTAAGGTATGTTTTATTAAAATTTTGGTTTTTTTTATGATCACAATTATTTGATTAAAGTTTGCTGAATTTGATGAGTTTTATCATCATTCAAGACGATTCATAGAATGATTCACTCATGGATCTTTTCTGTATTACACAATGTAAGCTCCTTGAGAGACGCTTCTTAAGCTCTTGCCCGCCCTGTTGGTGGTGCACTGCTGCTTTACGAACTTTAAATATAAACCGACCCGTTCTAATAATAGCTCATGCTAGTCGAACGTTTCTTTTGTAACCGAAAATACATTGGTGGTCGATCCTCTAAGAGGATCTCTCTTAGAATTTACTTCAACCTGGCAAATTGTTTCTTACTTATTTTCTTTTTTTTCTTAGCATAAGGAAGAAAAAGAAACAGAAAAACGAATGTTGTCCTACTCGAGAAACTTAACAGGAATATATTTCTATGTTGGGGTGTGTGTATGTGTGATTGTGTATATATGTATACGTTTATATATATGTGTATTCGTATAGAATAGAAATTGTAGTACAAAACAGATACATATTAAACTCATTGTCAGTGGTTAGACGTTCTGTTTATCGAAATAGTTTCGTGGAACCGAAATCCCTTTTAAAAGTCGAACCAAGAAACAACTTTTCGACGAATATTTCTTAACGATCTCGTAGTAGTAGTTAGTTTATTCGACTAGGAATACGTCGAAGGGTACAAAAAGTATATATATACCTCGAGAATAAAGTTTTCTAACTTTTCGATATACTTTCCAGTCACGTGTTTTTAAGTTTTCTTTATTGAGATCTTAAAGATAAACATTGAAGATAAATAAATGGGAATACCAATAAAAGAAAGTTTCGAGTTTGACGAAAGAATTTAGATTTCAACTGGATCTTATATTATATCAAGTTAATTAAATTCAAATAATTAACTTTATTATTAATATTTATGTAATAGAAGAATATTATTATTTTTGATGTTGTAGATCTGAAATTAATTTGATAAAGGTAGACTTGATAAATATATAATAATATGCAACTATCTTATGCAATTTCAATATTTTTGAAATTATTTTGAATCCTGCATTAACTAAAATAATAATTAGATATGATAATAATAATATAAATATAATAACAATTCTATATATATATTCCGCATATAAAGATCCTAAATTATTATGAAATATTAACATTATATTAAAATCAATATCACATCATAAAATATTCATAACAATAATGATTACAATTAATCCTGACCTTAATCTCTTTCCAAAAAAATATTCGACAAAGATTTCTTTCCAATTTCGTACACCTGTTACACAATAAATTAAATTGATATTTAAACTAAACGCTTCTTGAACCATTTCGATTAGATTTAAAGTCAACAATTCGCGTATTTATCCAAAAATAGAATTGATTTAAAAATAAAAATTTCAATCGGTCACTTTTAAATAGAGCTTAACACAAATTGACTTTGATATTTCGTAAGTTAAATCCCACCCACTTGTTCCTAATTGGTCGTTTCGTAAGATCACCTCATTGTGATATCCAATAGAATGGTAGGAAATAATCAACCGATCAATCAAATGCGAAATCTTCTTTATCGATCGTATAGGAATTCTTCATTATCGATCGAGCATCGAGTTTCCTTAGGAAGTTCCCCGTATCTGCGCATGCGCATAACGCATATATTAAAGAACACGAAAGTTGTGAAAGAGAGAAAGAGATATTAGATAGTGAATTACGAAAGATAGTAAAAGATAGGTAACGATATATTCGTGACACATCCCACATGTCGACATTCCTGCACCCCCAACCCGATGGATCCCGCGGGATTTATTTTAAGATAGGTATGACGAAAGAAAGAGACAGAAACAGAGAAAGAAAGAAAGAATGAGTGAGTGAGAGAGAGATAGAAAGATGGAAAGAGAGAACACGAAACTCCGTTGCTCGTCTTCAGTAGCAAATCCGCGAGTGGCTTGCACGGGATGTGTTGTTGAATCGTGTGTTGGTCTAACGCGAGTGTTTACGATTTTTCACGACCACTATTTTGTCGATCTAACCAAATAAATTGGGAAATTATTTCCTAACCTATTTTTCTCTCTCTCCCTCTCACTTATTTCTCTTTCTTTTATTTTTACCTAAGAAGAACATACACGAAGCAGTAATAGAAATTTTATTCACGTATTCGTATACATATATATATATATATGTGTGCATATGTATTTACATATGCATAAGGTAAGAAATTGTACGAATGGTAAAATTTCGCGGTCTCTTACGAATACGTCGGCCATTTTGGTTTGAAGAAGGAAGAAGTAGAAGAATAAGAAGAAGAAATGTTAACAATAGTAGTAGTAGTAGTATCGGTGGTATTATAAAAAGGTGGGAAAAGTTTGCTGGAAATCGTTCTTCCGTGAAAATAGTGCGAGAAGAAGAAGAAGAAGAAGAGAGAACTACTAGCACTAGCAGCCGAAAATCGCGAAAGAAAAAAAGAGGTAAAGAGAAGAAGAAATAGAGTAAGGAAGGAAGGAAATAAGAAAGAATGAAAGTAAGAAAAAGATAAAGGTATAACATTTTACGCAAAGGTATTCCCAAAAGAGATATTCTAGGTTGGTTTCAACTTTGTATACCTAACCTCATTTCGTAGGGAAGATATGGGAATCCGGGGATCTGAAAATAAAAGTAAAACTAGATAAGGGGGATAGGATATATAGATCCGATCGATTCTAAGACTCTGTTTTGTCATCTTATTCTTATTCTTCTTCAATATACTTTTCATCTTTATTGCCATCGTCATAGTGGTGGTAGTGGTGGTGGTGGTGGTGGTGGTGGTAGTTATGTTGAAACTTAGTACGCATGATCACAGTGAAAAAGTTTCTGAAGAGTTGCCAAGCTCGAATACGTCGTTTTACGTAAGAAGCATGTAGCCTGTTTCTCAGTTCAGTAATGTCAAACAGGCAACACAGATTTGCTACTACTGTATGGTATGGTATGGTATGGTATGGTATGCATGTATGCTTATATATACGAGTAGAACTTGGTCTGGATTCTCTCGTTGAAAATCCAGTAAGAGCAGTGTGGTGATACCTTTAAAGGACCTCACGATCAAACTGGACGCTTGCTTCTTCTTCTTCTTCTTCTTCTTCTCCTCCACCTCTTCTTCTTCTTCTTCTTCTTCTTGTTCTTGTTATTTGAGGGCATTGATCCAGAAAGGTATCCTCCTCGACCGTTATTATCGTCCATCGAAAACTGGAACCATGAAGAACGCTTATCCAGTTGTAACGGCAGCTTCGTCCAGTCCGGTTGATCCGGATTCTAACAACGAGACATCAAAAACCTGCGAAGATCAAACTGCACCGATAATCAGGCTGAAACTTGACAAACCATTGCATTGGGATTGGGAATTAACAACTACAGCCGATACCGTTCCCGTTATACAATTGTTGGACAGGGACGGTAAATTATTGGTCGAGACTACCGGGAAAACTGCCCAAAGAGCCAGGGGTTCTTTTCGGGAAGGTTTGACGACTTACGAAGAATTTCCAAACATTACTAGATCCATTTCGGTAACCTCGAAACCGGAACCTCTGCGTACCGGAAATCGTAACATGGATGGGTTCAGTAATAAATTCGGATCGGTTGAGTTTGGTTTTAAACCGAGAAAATCTAGGAGCGATGCCAATATCAAATTCATATCGAACGACAAGAAAATCAAATGTAAACAAAACAAACAATCGGATAAAATGTCCCCAGGGCAGCCGGTTAATTCGAAGAAATACTCGACCGGTGATTTTCTACGTCGTCAGATCCTGGATGATTTAAGGACGAGGAGTACGCTTGGAAAGACTCCAGACGAGGTTGCCAAGGAAAGATGTAGGAAGGTCAAGGCTTACTTGAGAAGTCAAAGTGATCTTTTGCCTGGTATCGTTAATTCGGAAAACGATTTCGAAGTTGAAAATCATTGTCTTGGATCTAAGATCGATTTAAACGATCAGAAGGAGAAGGAGGAAGAGTATTCGAGTAAATTGGAAAACAATAGTTTGGAATCCAAGGAACACGCATTATTGTCTTCTGTTCCTTTGGTAGATGGGAAAGTGGTTGTGGTGCCAGTGGATCCGGTTAAACTCGTGAGAATTCGAAGTTTCTTGACCGATAAATTGCGGGAGAGGATGGAACGGGAGGAGGCGGATGATCGTTTGCCGATTAACAAACGACACTCTGATTGTTCTTATCGTCAGAACAAAAAGGATGGGGGGGATTATCGTAGGAGAAAGGTACGTAGCGAAACTAACGTCATCAAATATTTACCCGGTGATCATTTTAACGTGGAAAACTTGTCCCCGAGTTTGATTGACCAATTGGAATATGACAAAAACGTTCGGGATAATAAAATAGAAAATGGCGATGATCAAACAACTATGGCTAATGTTAATTATCATTCATCATTTTCATCATCTTCATTATACGTTCCTACGATTATTAGGAAGAACAAAAATTATCATAGATCTAAAAGTGACGTATTGTTAACGACTCAATCTATCAATGATTTCGAATTGAAGAAAAACAAAACTAAATCCTCCGATCGTAGGAGAACCTATCGGAAAACTAAAAGCGATCTCCTATTCTTCGACGATCCTTACGAGGAATCGAAAAAAGATTTGGACAGGATCGAAAGATCATGGCGGGATTACAAGGAGAGAAAGAAACTCGAGAAACTTCAAAGGGAAACGGAACCGAAAAAGGAACAGGACAAAGAAATAGTTGAAAAGGATTGGAAACAGGAGACGGATCAGAAACAGCAGGAGGATGAGAAGGATTTAACTGGCAAAACTAAATGGAGGAAAGATTTTCAAAGCGAATTATGCGGCGCGAGAAATTGTAAAATTTGTCAAAATCTTCGGATTTCATTGAACCATCCATCGGAAACCGAAACAAAAGTTTATACCTTTGATATCGATTCTGATAAAGATCATTCGATTCAATTAGAAAATAATAATAATAATAATAATAATAATAATTCACAGTCGTCTTCTACAATAGTATCACCAGATTTTGGTTACAATTCGATACCGAAAAGTGTTTTCAAAGATTATCGCGAATTGTATGCACGTTCTAACGTTAAAAAAAGCGACACGTTTAAAATAATCGATGGGAGTGAGGATGGTTACGAGGAAACTCTCGTTGAGGACAATACCGATGATAATGAACGACGACAGAAAGATGAAAATTCTGCTGAGATGATCTCATTGGCGAACAAATCGAACGAGGACATCGCTAGGGATTACTTCAAACGCGTTTACGAACTTCTCAAGAAACGTCAGGAAGAGGCACGTAAGATTGCTGAAAAACGGGACGTTCATGGATACGATGACTCTTCTTCCTCAAATTATGTCGAAGAGGTACGCCGGAGGAAACATAGGCGTAGGAAGAGGGACACTGCTCATGGTAAGTTTGTTTTTTTTTTT